TGGGAGAAAGACCTGCAGTCTGCTTCCAATAAAGATTACAGCCAAGAAAACCCTGCAGGGCAAGTTCTACTCTGTCACATGAGGTCACTATGAGTCGGAATCTACTTGAGAGCACCTAACAACACCATCTCCAATGATTTTCCTGTACCTGAGGTCCCCAGCACTGCCTGGGATCCAATAACAGACTGCAGAGGCCCAATCAAACCATGGCCACTGTTCTGGGATTCCCACTCCATTAAGTGTCCTACTTGCTTCATGTGTCCTTACAATAAACACCCCTTCACTTAAGCTAGACTGAGTGAGTATTCCTGACAAAGTGCCCAACCAAAGAAGTGGACCCCGCCCCAGCACCGTGTGCTTCGAGCTACATTCACTTGTTAGCACCACACATGAAAAGGGATTCTGATTAAGCAAAACAAGAGCGATGAGTAGCCTTCAAATATGTCCTGTAAAAGAATTGCAGAAGGAATTTTAAAAAGCTTTTCCTGGGGAAAAAAGACTTAGGCCATCCATGAGGACCGGCTTTCAACTGCTGTTGGGCTGTCATGTACAAGATGGAGAAAACTGATTGTATGATTGTAGCTCAGAGGGCAGAAGAGGTGAGTGAAGATGTAACAGGGAATTGGCAAATGTTGTGTTATATATATTTTTACAATGATACTTTTAAAAAAAGAAGTAACAGGGCTCTAAATTTAAAAAGTTCTATCAATAAAAAAGGCTAAGACTGGAAAAGATTGCTTGGTAGGGTAGTGAGCTCCCCATCTCTGGAAGTGCTCAAAAAGAGGCTTGAAGGGTGGTTCCCGCAGTGGGTGTAAGTCTGGGCCTGACTTATCAGCCTCCTTCAGCTGTATCTTTCTAGAAATGTATAAGATAGGGAAGAGACCAGGTCCACCCACACACTGAGCAGAAATATGTCAGGGCTAAATGGTATGATAATGCGTTTAAGTCAGAAGACGATGGCTCACAGAGAAATTGAGCAATAGGGAAGATCTCAGAGGTTCAGCATCTTAGCTGGCCCTGGTCTGCTGGTCTTTCCCCACAGAATTAGTCAGATCTTGTGGTTGCAAGAGATAGAAACCTAGTTTAGACTGGCTTAAGCAAAAAAAGAAATTTATTAGCTTACATAACCAAAAACTCAGGAGGCAGATCTAGCTCTGGGCATGGCTGAATTCAAGGCTTCAAATGAAGTCATTAAGACTTGGTCTGTCTCTGAAAGAAGTTCTGATACATGTTACAACATGGATGATCCTTGAAAACGTTATGCTGAGTGAAATAACTCAGACTCAAAAGGACACTGTATGATCTCACTTACATGAAATATCTATAATAGGCAAATGATAGAGATCAAAGTTTGTTAGTGGTTGGTTACCAGGGCAAGCAGAAGGTGGAGAGTTACTGCTTAAGGGGCACTGAGTTTCCGCTAAGGGTGATGAAAAAACTTGGAAACATAATGGTGATGGTTGCACAACGTGGTGAACATCATGTCACTGAAGCATACATGTAAAAAAGGTTGAAATGGCAAATGTTTTGTTAGATATATTTTTACCACAATTAAAAAAAAAAAAGGAAACAAAACATGCAACTTAAAAGAGGAATTAAAAAAAAAAAAAGATTTGGTCTCTCTCTGTGTCTCAGTTGTTTCCCTCCTTATAGCCAAAACCGCCTTGGAAGTTTACACCCATCTTGAGAAGAGTGTAGGGCAAGGCCAAAGCGGGTCTTGATTAGATGGCTTCCGAGGCCCTTCCCAATCTACAAGTAATTCCTTAAGAACTTCCTGTCACTGAACCTTTGGCTGGCCCAAAGCCCCTTCATCTCCAGGTTTTGGGTTTATCCCTACCTATCCTCTCACCTACGAATTCAGGAAGAGGGGAAAAGCTGGGGCCGCAGAGGGCGCTGGTGGTGCCCCCTAGAGGAGCCCTCCTGGGAATGTGCCTGGGACAGGGCACTCCTTCTGGCTGGAATCATACACCAGTGAGGCAAGGAAGGCCACTAAGGAAAGTACCTGGAGCTATGGAGGGGGAAAGAAATACCATGCATTTTGTAGGGTGAGCCGAGTTGACCAGCCAGAGAGATGTGGCAATGGGGCCCTTCAAAGGTGTTTGAGCGGATTCCAGAGGAGGATTCAGCTGTCGCAACATGCTTCTAGACCCAGAGCTCAAATAGAGAGTTGTCACAGTCACGGGCCTGGGCCAGAGCACGAGTCTCGGAGATTGAGAGTCAGATAAAAAGGTAAGAACTAAATAGTTGTAGGGTAGGGAGCAAGCAGAGGATACAGGCTTCTGGGACTGGGAGGAAAACAAAGTTAAAATCACATCCTCCTACAGACGCACATGAAAAAGAAAAACGTTTTATATAAACTCAATTTATAAGCGACTTTCGGGGTCAGTCCCTTCAGCCCACTCCGGGCTGAGTGAGTCCGCTACGCTCCGCTAACTTGGGAGGCTCTGGCTCTCGGAGCTGCGGGGCCTGCGGCGTTTCTGGGGCGGCCCCGAGTGCCAGGACTACATCTCCCAGGATGCCGCGGGCCAGGCAGCACAATGCCTACGCAGAAGTGGTGGGCGATGTCGCTTGTCGCCAGGCGGGGGCGTTCGGAATTTGGTCCTGAACCCGCGGAGGCAGCGAGTGCCGCGGGGCTGAGCCGGGTTTGTTGGCCGTGCTCCTATGGCTTGAGTAGCAAGTACAAGTAACGAGCTTTGAGCCCTCCTCTTTGATTCCCGGCTCGTCCCCGCAAGTTGGCGGGATCCCGGCTTCACCTTTACCAAGGTCAAGCTCTCGCGTACCCCAGGCCGCAGACAGAGACTCGTCTTCAGAAGCACAGCAGCTCTCAGGAACCCCACTTCCGGCTGCCGGTGGTTCCCCGCATCCGGTACCCACCCCCAGGAGCCACCCTCCCTCCCACACAGCCCCAGCTGCCGGCCCTTAACCGCGACTAGGGCCCTTCCTGAGGAAACTCATGTTGGAGTCCTTGGAGGTCCAGGGACGCCGGGACATTTGGGGTAGGGTGTGTGTGGCGGTGATTGGGGGGCGGGGGGTCCCACTTCCCACTGGGACCACCAGGTGGCCTCAGGCGCGCACTTCTCTGCTCTCTGATTTTCTCTGGAGCGCTAAGTGGGAGGTAAAGAAGTCTGGAAGTGAAGGCCTCAGCTTCCCCTTTCTTCCCTCAAACCCCAGAAGGGGCTGTCCAGCCAGACGTGCTTCTACAGAGGCTCAAGAGGGAGATACTGTTTCCTGGAGCTAAGGCCGAACTCCCTCAGCTCGGAGCGATTACCAGGGCGATGGAGGGATCTTAAAAATGGGCTACAGGAAAGGTGGGTGGGGCCAGTGATGGTAGGACCGGCGGTGGAGAGCAGGCATTGATGGATGGGACTTAAGGTGCCTCTGACCCTGGAAGAGGTGGGGTTGGGACGCTTCTGTGTATGTGTAAGAGATAGGGTGAATTTGTTGCCAGGGTAGTTGTGATGAGCTGAGCCAGTTTAGAGCTGTGCTGTAGTCATTGTGTTGTTATGAGGTTTGGGAGGCTCGAGGTTTGGGTGGCTCAGGCTGTAACCAGAAAGATGGAGGATGTGATAGGTAGGGCTTTTTCTTTCCTTCTTTTTTTTTTTTTTTTTTAAACCTTCTACACATCTCTTTCTAATCCATTCCCTCCTCTCTACCTCCACTGCCACTGCCACCATTTTATCTCACCTAGATTATTACAACATCTTAAGGACACTCCCTGACTACAGTTCTGCTTGCCTCCAGACTAAAATAGCAGCCAGTGGAGTTTCTGTAAAGCTCATATCTGACTGTGTTCATCCCTTGCTTAAAAACCTTCAGTGACTCCCCTTCATCTCACCTACAGGATAAAGTCCAAACTCCTTGGTATGGTTTACAGACCCCGTGGGATCAGACTTCTGTCCATCACTCCAGCCTCATCTTGTCATTTCCCCCATCTCACTATACCCTCTTGTCATTCGAATGAACTCCTGTCAGTTCCTCCAAAGAAGCCTCTCCTTTGCCTTGTGGTTCCCTCTGGAACATTTTCTGTCAGACTCCTCCTAGTGCGTCATGTACCTGCTTATGAGTCACTTAGTCTATGAGCTCCTATAGAGGATCCTATACTTATTTTTAGCAATAGCTAGCATTATTGAGCACTCACTCTTTTCTAAGCACTTTACATGGAATACATTTAAACTTCACAACAACCGTTTTTAAATAGACACCATAAATATCCTCCCTATTTTACAGATTCAGAAATTGAGGCCCAGTTGCTCAAGAACATATGGATGGTCTGGTGGACATGGAATTTGAATTCAGGCAGTCTGGCTCCCAAGCCCACAGTCATAACTACTGAGCAAACCCGCCTACTGTAGCATGGTATATGGTGTGGAGGACTAGCTGGCGTTAAGAATTAAGTAGGTGGTGGTTGGGCTGGTAGATAATACAGGCAAAGCAGATTTAATCCCCAAATTAAAATAAAGGTGATGACAAGCAAAGCTATTGTCAGGATAGTAGGTGACAATTGAGAGAGCAAAGTAGAGATGGAGTGAAAAGAGGGTCAGTAGAGGTATATGGATGACAGAGTGAAGAGCGCCACTGCTGATGTCAAAACCGAGGTATAGATGAGACTGATGAAGGGCAGGGGGAGGAGTGATGGAGAAGCTGATGGAGGGGCTAGGCTCTCAGGCTGTGGAGGGCGGCAGTGCATTTACCAAGGAGAGTAGTACATGGGGAGAGTAGTTCAGGGGCTGGGGAACTTGCAGACCCCAGGTTACAGGAGTAGGGTGACTTTGAGTGCAAATCCTGAGGATGTTCTAGCAGCAGCAAGAGTAGCCGAGGGCTGGGCTCCAGCCTTCCACCCCCAGCACCCACCCCTGCAGTGTTGTTGTGGCATCCCTTCTTGTGGGGGCCCCTACCCCATCTAGTCATCCCCAGAAGTGCTCTGTGCAGACAGCAAAGCTCACTCTCCCAACCTATGGGGCCTGTTACAGGTCTACAGCCCTCTAGGCAAAAAATCTAAACACTTTTTGAGAAGTTTTATTTGAAAAGTTGGGGATGTGACAGAGGCAGTAGGATGGAGATTGGTGTTCTCTTGGCAGGGTTCCCAGGTTAGAGCCAGGCTTGAGTTCCTTAGGTTCCTGGGCACCAGGACCATTCTAATCTGTGGGTTCCCAGAAAAATCTACCCACCCACGTCCTTTTGGGCTCCTATGCCTCCCCCACTACCCACTTCCTGTGCCTGAGGAGACGCTGAGGTGTGGGGAGGATCTGGTTAAACTCCAGAAGGAGGGGGAAGTGAGAACTTGGGAGTTGGGGGTGGGGGCTGAGAGGAACAGATAGGGAAAAAGAGATGGGGGAGGAGGACACTGTCTGTGCTTCCTCTATCCTCAAGAAATTGAGGGCCTGCCATTCCCCTGAGATGTCTCCCTCAAGCTCAGGAAGCTTGGGGAGACTACCTGTGACAGAGCAACGGCTTCCTGCTATTGGGGGTGGTTGGGTAGAAGTCATGCCCTGGCCAGGGTTGCAGTAACCCCTGCCACAGGGAGGCTGGGTGAGGCAAGCCCACCATGCCAGGGCCTCCACTTCAGCTGGGTGCCGGCTGGCTGTTGGCATAGGCCTGATCGGGGAAGGAAGCCCGCGCTCGGCGGGTCTGGGAGCACACTGAGGCATAGAGCTCCGGCTCGGGGCCCAAGGCCTGGGCCTTTGGCTCAGAGTCCAGCACCACCTCTGAGTACTTGATGGGGGCCCCAGGGCTGGGGACCCGGCTCTGAGGAGGCCGCAACTGCAGGCTGGTATAGCGCATCACCTCCTCTGCAGCCTGGAGATGCAAGGCTGTTAGAAGTACTCTGGACCTTTGTCCTACTTCCCTCCCCTCTTCTTCAACCCGAGCTGACTCACCCTGGTGGGGCCCCCAGGAGCTGGTTCCTGCTGCTCTGGCCCTGGTTCTTGAGACAGCCGTCCTGGGATAGGGATCAGGAATCTGGTCAGTTTCTTGTTCCTCCTCCTTCAGCCCCCAGCCCCCATGACCTGGCCTCTGTGCCCCTGTCCTCTGCCAGCTCCTTACCTGTTTGCAGATAATGCAGGTTCCCATATAGGGGGGCCTCTTCCACAGACCCTCCAGAGCTGCAACACAGAGTTTGGGGGATGAGTGGGGACTTCTTGGTAGGATGAAGCTCTTGATCGACCCATCCTTATGTTGTCCCCCACTCACCGTCCCTGCCCTGGATGGCTCCTGCTCCGGCCAGTGGTCCATTGGGACAAGTGTGCAGCCAGTGAGATGAAAAGCAGCAGCGTCACAGCCCCTAAGAGGGCCCATAATCCCCAGGCCTTGCCAAAGGAGGGGATTCCTGTGGACAGGAGGGGGTGGTGGTACTGCCCAGCCCAACCCCCTAGCTCCCGGCAGGTGGGATGTTAGGCTTATGACCCTCCCCCAGGAGCCCCTGCTCCGCCCAGCTCACCAGGCCCTAGTAGATCCGTGCAGTTTGCTGCTGATGTGACATCCCCAGGCATCCTGCTCTGAGTCCAGAGGTCATCCTAGCTCATGGCCTCACAGCTGCCGCAGCCCCCCTTACTCCCACCCCTCCCTGGGCCTGGGCCCTACAGCTCAGCATCCCCAATACTGGTGGTAGCAAAGTCTCTGGTTTCCGGGGAGGAAGGGGGAGGGGAAGGATTGGGTGAAAGAACAAAGACACCGCCCTGCACCTGCGCCATCCTGTAGCTCCTAAGCGTCCCTGCCACCCTCATGGCCCTGTGCCCCCCTTCAGCCTGAGAGAAGAGCAAGCAGGCCTGAGTGTAGTGGGCTACTGTGCAGCTGAGCCAGTGAAGACTCCGGAAAGGGAGGGAGTGACTTACCTAGGGGGACCGGAGTGGTGTGAGGCAGGACCAACAAGGACAAGACACCTGGCCCTAGGATCCCCTCCTGCCAAAGGGTGTCTGCCTTTTCTCTTCAACTCCAAGCGCCATGAAGGAAGATGCATACCTCAATAAGCACATTATAAAGTGGAACAGGACGAGAGGCCTGGCACCTCCAGTGCCACCACACCCAAAGGCTGACCTGAGGGGAATGTGTGTTTGGATGATTGTTGTCATTATCATTACTAGTGTTATATTAGGGAAGAGTGGAAACTAGTTACTCCTCCTGTCTACCCACCTACTTCACCCAGACTGTCACTAAGAACTGTCAGTCTTAATAATTACTTGGACTAAAAAAATCCTCTGCCTCAGGACTACCCTGGGAAACTGAGTCCTGACTTTGCACTCTTTTACTTGGGGAGTAGTTACCTGCCATGCCTGAGATAGCCCAACCACACAGGAAGTTATTGATGTGAGAAGACAGATTTTAAGTTCCAAATATAAACCTTAGATCAGAAGTCAAAGATGTATTTTGTTTGGCTCATATAATGTTTTTTAAAAAACGTAAATTCACTGTGGTGGTATATCAAGGAAGGAGATGGCAGGAGAGGTCCTGCCCCTCCAGTTATAGGCAATAGGAGGATGGATTGTCTGTAGGAAATGTAAAAACAAAAAGAAAACAGACTAAAAATCAGCCTCCTTCTTATTATCACCATGTACCAGCCATTCTAAAAAATGTCAGTGATAAAATACTCCTCCCTGAAAAATATTTTATAGTTTTAAGTCCTGAATTTCCAAGAGCAGTTTAATAATATACAAATTTCAAATTAGCACATTTTTGTTACTTATCCTTTAATAAACATGGTAGTTTACATGGAAGTTAATCAGGAGAATTTCTGTTTTACAGTTAGCCCCTGACACATGCAGATTCATCTACGTGTGTTCATTTCTAGAATTAGTTCATAATGGTTTGAAATTGTTCAAACTTGCTGTGGGCATCATTTCAGTGTCCAATCCCCATGGTTGGGTTACATTTTCCTGTGTTTAACTTGTAGATTTAAAAGAAACAATGATTGTAAAGTCAAAGAAATTAAACTTGAGTTACTTTAAGTCTGACATTCCATGTGACCACTTGGAATTTTCATTTATATTTAAAATTTCTGGAAATGTGAAATAGGATTTTTATGAATCTTTGTCAAATTTATCCTTATGTTTAAGACTTTCCCTATTTGTATGTCTCTTGCTTCATGTGAAAGAAACTTCTTGAAATTAAAATAAAAAGTATTATTTGATCAACTATCAGAGAAGATGGACAAATCTGGCTATATTGTCTATTGAGTATGCAAAGACTACTTTTGACAAAGCTGTTGACAAATGTGTAGAAGGATCAAAAACAAAAATTGTAATGTTATTCATCATTCAGACAGACCAAAATGTAGGTGTTTAAGTTTTTTGCCCCTTTTCTCAAAAACGAACAAAAAAATACAAACTGTAACTAAGAAGTATTAATCCACCCATTACTTTTTTCTTCATGCTCTGTAATGTTTAATTTTTAATTATTTTGGTTTTTTACACTGGTATAATAATAAGGAGCCCTGGCAGTTTGAAATCACCCACGGCTCCTCGGAGGAAAGAGGTGACAATCTGCTTCCTTAGCGATTTACAGCCTTGGAAACCCTGTGGGGTCGCTATGAGTTGGAATCCACTCATAATCAGCATAATTATACATAAAAAATTCAGTAAAAAATGCTCACTCTCAGTTTCTTTTCTGGCCGTTAGTATTTATAATTATTGCCGAAAATAATTTTGTCATATAGAGGAGAGTTTAATAAATGATTAATATGGGTGTCAAATATCCTAAAGTATGACAGATACCTTGTAAACCTTAAAAATAGATTTCCAATTTTAAAAGTCCAGATTTAACTTTTTTTTTAATCATAAGACCTGGCAACAGTGGGCCCAAGTACCGTAAAAGCAACAATCAACAGGAACTGAGTAGGAAGTTTCCTTTTTAAAACAGCTTTTAGCCCCCTGTGGGAAAATTAGAAGTGATGTTTAATATGTCTAAAAGACTGAGCACAGGAGCTTCCTCAGCTCTGGGACCGTCTCACGACCTGCGGAGGAGTAAGATAAAAGTTCGCCGCGCTGAGAATGAGCCCCGTTTGGTTGGTGCGCGCGCAGACGCACTGCCTGTGTAACTAGCACTGCTGACGGACGCCACCCCGCTATCACGCCGCTCAGCTCTCCCGCCGTAGACGGTGGGGTTGCTTCTCGGCGGGTTTATGAGTGAGAAACGGGAAGGTCTGCGTGCGTGCGCACGCGGCACTCTCTGCCCAAGGTCCGGGGACTTTCCCCTAGGCGTTAGAATAAGGAACTAGTCCTCCGTTTGTAGCCTAGGAAACAGGCCTTCAGCACGAACCACGTAGTTGCGGCTATTGCCTCTCCTTTTATGGGTGTACTAGGTAATTTATTTTCGGGTTAGGGTGAGGAAGTTAATGGTGTGAGAAATTTAAAAAACACATTTAGGCTTAGTTTTATAAGACTTCAGGCTTCTGGGGAGCATTCTGGATAACAGAATACCTAAATAGGTAAGAAATTAATTAAGAAAACCGGACAGACACTGCCTTATGTAAATAGAGCTGGCCCCGCCTCCACAGTAGGTGGGTGTGGCCCGCGTGCGAGGCCCTGAGCCGGAGTGAGAGTGTGCGCGTGCGCACTGGGGTGGCCCGCCAACGCAGGAAGGGGTCGGTGCCCGTGCTGTTTCTTTCTGCGGGCTAGCAATGTCTGGCGCGGTCTTTCTCTGGGGGGTGCTGGGGCCGCTGCTTGTGTCTGTGCTGCCCGGGCTCCTCGGAGACCGCCCCAGCCCCAACCTCGGGGCACACCCAGGTACCAGCGAGGGCTGTGGAGGGAGGCTGGGACTGCCCGTGGGTCCCAGGCCCCAGCTCTGCTGACCTTCCTCTGCCCTCCCTCCGCAGGGGACCCCACCCAGGTCGGCCTTGGGGCCACGGAACCCCTGCGGCAGCCACCGCCCAAGGACCAGCGCGAGCGAGCCCGAGCTGGGGCTTTGCCTTTGGGAGCGCTGTACACTGCGGCCGTCGTGGCTTTTGTGCTATACAAGTGTTTACAGGTGCGGGACGACCGGGGGTGGGGGTACTACATACCAGGAACAGGACACATCTTCCCGTCAGCCTGTAAAATGAAGACAGTAGTCCCTTGGCTTTTCAACAGTACCAGGTTATTTTAAGGATCCAGCGAGGTAATGGATGTGAAGGGCACGTGGTAAATTGTAAATAATGACCATCACATTTATTCCTCCCGACAACCCTGTGAAGAGAGATTAAGTCACTTGCCCAGCGTCACTCAGCCAGTAACTGGCAGAGCCGGATTTGAACCCAGCTAGTGTCCATGCTACGAAAGTGCGGTTAATGGGAGGTTCCAACCTTGGCATGAGTTCCAGCCTTGGCGTGAGCGTTTGATTGCTGTAGCCACGGTGTTTCTAGTGTTCAAGGGACCAAGCAGTCTCATGTTCTCCCTGGGAAAGAGGCCCTGAAATGTGAGCTGACAGTACATTTTGGTGGATTGAAACTGGAACGCTAGAAGGGATAGCTAATTTGGCATCATGATACTAAATAGATTTGACAGGCTAGGATGAGGAACTGAAATCAGTGATGAAATTTAACAGGGATAGATTTAATTCTATTCTTGGACCCAATCACAGACTGGAAGAAACAGGATTTAACCGTAGTGTCTTTGAAAAAGACTTAGGCATTCTGCTTGACTATAAGCTCAGTTGTATGATGTGACAACCCACTTCCCAAGTCAGTGCTAGGATCAGGGTGGTTGTGCTTTATCTGCTGATCAGAACACTCCTGGAGAATTTCATTCTCTTCAGGGCATATGCTCAGAGTAAAGCAGCCTGACGAACCAAGCCAAATGAACACTGAAAAGACTGGGGCTATTAAACCAAGAGAGGATGCTGGAAATGCTGGGGATGGGGGGAGGAAAGAATGACTACTGTCTTCACATTCCTGAGGTGCTATCATGTTGAAGAGACATTATTTTAGAAGACTAATCAGCACCATGGCATGAAGATACATGGACAAATTTTGACTTTGTATGAGAACTAACAACCAGAACTGCATCAAACTGTAGAGAGTTGCTCACTCCTGGAGGTGTTTTGGCAGACAGTGACCACGTGTGGGGCCTAACTGATATGTTGGCTTCATGTCCAGGGGGTGGGTGGGGAGGTGGACTAAATGTGATTGATTCTCTAAGGTAAAAGCTCAATAGCTTTCTCTGCCTGAAACTGTCTCACTGGTGTTGGAGGCTGAGGTGGTGCAGCAGGACCTTGTTGCTGCAGTTTTGCCCTTTCCTTCTTCCACAGCAGGGGAAAGATGAGGCTACAGTTCTCCAAGAGGAGGCCGGCAAGGAATCACTGCAGTCAGGTGAGTTTTGCAAAAGTCTGTGTTGGGTGGGGGATTAGGGGACAGCAGAAGATAAGTAACCATTGCCCCCTCTTCTCCTTTACCCCCAGAGCAACAGCTGGCCCAGTTGACGCAACAACTGGCCCAGACAGAGCAACACCTCAACAACCTAATGGCCCAGCTGGACCCCCTTTTTGAGTGGTGAGGAGAGTAATGACCTTGGGGCCAGGAGAATTGGAGGCAGGTGGGAGGGGTGGGGACATGGGGTGGGCAGCCCCTGAGTGGACATTTCTGCAGTGTGACTACTCTGGCTGGAGCTCAGCAGAAGCTTCTGAACATGAAGCTACAGACAGTTCACCAGCTGCTACAAGAGAACAAGCAGGACAAGGGTGTGGAGGTTCCAGAACCAGGTAAAGGGTTGGAGGTAAGGATCTGGTGGAGGTGGAGGCAAAGTCTAAAACTGGAACATGCCTGATCTTTCCCCTCACAGAGGCCAGCACACCTTTTCCTGAGGACTTATGTATAGAGGAGACTGGTGACAGTCAGGCCTGGGAGGAGCCCATAAACTGGAGCACAGAGACATGGAACCTAGCTACTGCCTGGGAAGTGGAGCAGGGGCTAAGAAGAAGAAGCAGCATGGCTGTGGCAAAGGGCCCCAGTCACGGCTCCAGCTGGGAAGGAAGGAGGGACAGCAGCTGAAGGTTTAGTAAAACAAAGCCTATTCTTGTGACTGGGCACTCCTGCGTGCTTTTTCCATCCCAGCTGGTTGTACGCACACCCATACTAGGTGCCTAAGGACAACTGGGCCTTCTTGAAAAGCTTCCCTTATTAGGACAAAACGAGGCTGCCCTCCAGGGTGAAGGCAAACAAGATAGAGGGAGCTCCAGTTCTTTTCCTTGTATTTCTGAGGCCACCATCATGCCAACCTTCAGGGCACAAAAATCCCTTTTCTCATTTAACATAACTGAGAAAGCCCTTTCCAAAAAAAAACTTTATTAAATCCAGTGGGAAAATAAATTATAGAAGTTATATACAACATAAAAATAGCCGTGTTTACAAAGCAGAACTCCTGATAAATAACTGGCTATAGACACAGTACAGAGCGTATTAGTCCCAAATCCCCTCATTTGTGTTGGAGGGTCTGGTCCAACTGAGGTCTAACCAGGTCAGACTTGGTATCCTGATTAAGAGCCGGTCAACTGACCCAGCTTGGCTTGGTCCCAGGCAAACACAAAATGACCCTTCTCAAACCACTAAACGCGTCAGTGTTTTAGCACTGAAGAGGATTCCTTTGTACTCCTGGCTCTGACCTATCCTTGAGGCATTCTGGGTTCTGGAGTTTGTAGAGTCTTCTAGTTCTTCTGGCTGCTGTAGAGAGAAGACAGTCCAGGCACTGGCATGAGCACTGTATTCAAACAAAATCACCCACAGGGTTAGGAGGTACCAAACAGGTAGGACAAGTGACAGGATCAGAACTGCTTATCTCTCCAGCAGGGTGGTTAGAGCCTCATGGGCCACATTAGGGCACTCTTCCTGACACAACTTACCTGATGGCCAAAGTCAGACTGTGGTACCAGCGTGATAGCTCCTCCTGGTCTGTGGACATAAGCAGTAGCTTCTCACGGGGGAAGGACAGCTAGGGAGAGACCACCTCTTAGTGCATGGCCTAGAAAGTTCCAGGCTAAAGCTGGAACCTTTGCTGTTTCCATGGCGGTAATTCAGGGATGAAATGAGAACTAGGCATGAAGCCCAATCCCCGGTTACTCTCTCCCAGAGTAGATGGCTCAGTTCCTATAAAAGGAGGCCCAGGCCAAGGAGATAAACAGTCCCCAGGGGAGGAGTTTAAGTTATATTTTGGGCTTCCCCAAACCTTACTTCATGGTCCTCTCCTATTACTTACACTGAGCAGTCCACCACAAGGGCCTCCTGAGTGGCCAAAGACCCTGTGGAGTTGACACTGGGCCATGGGGTAGAGGGCCCGGCAGGCAAAGCTGCCACTCTGCAACAGATGCAATGGGGGTCGAGGCTTGGCCATCAGGAGCACATCAGTGAAGAGGAAGAACATGCGAGGCCGAGGCTCCCCTCGGGGAGGCACCACCAGCAGCCAGCCCTGACGTAGGAACCAGCGCCCTAGGGGTGTGGGGGAGTTGTTATTGTACAGCTCCAGGACTGTGACCCATGGGAATAGAAGGAAAGAACAGCTGAGGAAATAGGGGATATGTGCTGGCTGTATAGAGGAAGAGGTATATAGTGGGCTGAATAACATCCCCCAAAAATTCATGTTCCCTGGAACCTCAGAATGTGACCTAATTTGGAAATAGGGCCTTTGCAGATAGAATTAGTTAAGGATCTTGCGATTAAATCATCCTGGAATTAGGGTGGGCCCTAAATTCAATTGGTATCCTCATAAGAAGAGAACAGAGAGACATAGAAAATAAGGCCATGTGAAGACTGAGGCAGAGACTAGAGTGATCTGTCTACCAGCCAAGGAACACCTGGGGTCACCAGAAGCTGGAAGAAGCAAGGATTCTTCCCTAGAGCCTTCAGAGGGAGCATGGCCCTGCTGACCTTGTTTCTGACTTGTAGCCTCCAGAACTGTGAGAAAATAAACTTCTGTTGTTTTAAGACACCCAATTTGTGGTACTTTGTTACGGCAGCACTAGGAAACTAATATAAATAGGAAAGGAGCAGTTGAGGATTGAGAGGAAGTACACAGACTACCTGTGGTAAGCCCCTTTGCCTGGCGGCCACTGAGCAGTGCCTGGACACGCCGGAGGTGCTGGTCATTCTTCTGTCTCTGCCCAATAGTGTGGACCCGCTGGGCAGTCTCACTTATCAGCCGGGCAGCCCCTGGAATAACATCCCTCGTCCCACTCCCATCACAACTTTGAAGGAGGGATACTGGTGGTGAAAGATAGGTTATTCCGGAGTGGACACGGGTCAGGGTCTAACTTCTTGAAAAGGGTGCAGAGCAGTAGGGACGCTGTACACGTGTCAGTGGAAGATAGGGACATACCAAACATTGTTGGAGGTGAGAACTAGAAAAGGAATACAGGAGAGGCAGCCTCCTGCATGAGCTGTGGAGGAACAGGAACATACGCGTAAGCTGTTGGTGGTCAGGGCTGTTGGGACCTGTGTTTTCGGCCAAGGCAACAACGAGATTTTCATACCTGGAAAGGGACAGTTGGAAGTCTATGAGGGAAGGTAGGACTGAGCACAATCCCATCTGCCTGGCATACAGATCATACCCTACACATACTTGAGTTGGAAGGCTACGAAAGATCTACTTCTTGCTGTTGTATCCCCCTTTCTCATCTGAGACTCAGAACCTGGGCACATACCACATGGCCTTCCTCCATCTCACACTGAAGAGTCAAGGGCAGGCTGGCCACAGATCCCAAGGTGAAAGTCAACCCACAGAGGATGCTGTAGACAACAGTGACTATAAACCCTACTTCATTCCCAGGGACAGAAATTCTAAGCTGAGCTTGCCCCTCACCTCAACAAACTCTTCAGATATCCTGTCTCAGGCTCTAGTACAAGTCTCCTCACTTCAACAGAGACTTCCACAGTCCCAGCTAAGGGGCCAAGGTTGCAGAACCTGGTTACTCCAGAGAGTTCATATTTACCCTTGCAAAAGGTTGTTAGGAGCAATTTAGCCCAGGGAAGAGGCAGGTGATAAGGACAGACCCCAAAGCTCAGGGCAGCAGACTCGGAAAAGAGAGGTTGGCTTGAGTTAGGGGGAGTTCACGCACTGCTGGAGCCGCTGCAGAGGCAGAGGGAGCAGGTCCTGGAGCTGAAGGCCCCCAAACTCTGGGCGTCCTTCCTGAAGCTGCACAAACCTTCGGAAACGTTTGTTTTTCTTTAGCTGCTCCTGGAGTTGAGGGGGAAAGGGTTGGCAGCAGAGAGAGAAGACATTTCTTACATTGCATTCATCTGTGTTCACAGTCCCGGCCTCCAATAAGCTGTTTGCACCTGAGACAAATCCTGTCTCCCCCCAGGGTACTTGGCACAGAGCTGGACACCTAGAGGGCTCTATAAATACAGGAACTGTACAAATGAAGTTTCTTCATAATCGAAAAGAAATGTGTGGGGGAAGAGGGGACATATTTGGAATAATCTCTAGGTTACCTGCAGTGTGGTCCAGGAACTCTCTGCATTGGCTGCATACTGGGTGTAGAGCTCCAAGTGGGGGCAGAAGCCCTCCAGCCCCTGTCCCCAGTGCCCTCCTTCCAGGTAGGGAAGCAGATCCCTGTGTGAGGGAGGACAATAAAAGAGCAACCCAGGAACTACTCAAGCACCACCTTATTTAATCCTCATAACTCTGCTCTGGAGGTGGTGCTATTACTACACATCACACATGGAAAAACGGGGGCCGGTTAAGGCACCGGGCCAAGGCCACAGGTGAGGTAACGAGCCCATTCCGAATATGAAATTGGGTTTGTCCGATTCCAAACTCCGTGCACGGCCAGATCCAGGGCTCTCCCTCCATGCCTTTCCCCGCGCCCCTTCCACTCACTGGCTAGCTCCGTAGATAAGCTCCCAGGGCCCAAACAGGGCCTGGCGCTCTGGGAGTCGCAAGGTCCCCTTGGCTCGCAGGATCCCCAGGAAGTACTGGGAAAGGAGAAAATATAGTATCATAGTCTGGAGGAAGACAAGGCTAACGCCGAGGAGCAGCTAGGAACTGTAGAGGTCGGCCCGCGCTCCCTACATTGCAGGCTGACGGTCCATGGCCCACCATACTTGGGGCCACCGACCTCGCTGATACCCTCCCGCACCCTGGGGCACCCGCCGCGCACCGTAGCCACCAGACCCAGCTGTTCCTGGTAGCGTCGCTCAGTCTCCAGCAGCTCGCGGGCGGTGCAAGCGCGTTTCCGCTCCCAGCGGGCACGCTGCTCTTGCAACGGGCACCGCGCGCCGGAGTCAGGACTCTCCATGGCCCGGCTTAGGTTGACACTTCCGGCCGCAGCCCGCCGGAGATTCAAACCCCAACGGTTCCGGGGGCGGGGCCTTGGGGCGGGGCTTAGGGGAAGCGCGCCCCCTGGCGCCTAGAGGCTGCGTGGGCTGGACAGAGCATGCGAGGCTGCCTGCCAGACAGCGTTTTGTCTCCTGTATCTGGCCTCTCCCCATCGCCGGGGCGGCGCTGTAAGTATGCGGTACCGGCCCAGGCAGAGCCCGGAGGGGCAGGGCTTGTGCACAGGCTCATTGTGTGTGACCCTCCTCTGAGTGGCACCAAGTTGGGGCAGCAGCCTCGACTTTAGCGGACTTGAGGGTGCAGACACTGGCAGGGCCTCAGTGTCCCATATGTAGAATTGGGAAGGGGTCAATAGGGTACATACTCTGCCCTGGGCCCATGCCAGATGCAGGGAGGGGTTAGTCCTTCCCAATGCTTTAACCACTAGGAACCCTCACGGATCACAAGGTTTGAAGTATTTTGGCCCCTAACTCAGTTTCTCATTTCATGCGTGACAGCCAATTAACTTCTGGTCAGCAGGTGTAGATAACGAACGTGGTGGTTCCTTATTACTGTAATTGTAAGCAAAGGCAAAAGCTTTGAGTTGATTAGTCAGTGTTGCCTAGCCAAAGATTAAATGTACCAGATTCTCCTTACTTAGGTTTTTTGAAGAATTGGCAGTAGCCCTGGAGGGTAAATTTTGTCGGTAAGTATCAGAAATCTAAAAATATGCATACTATTTTGACTTAGCAATTCCAGTTCTAGGAGTGCATCCTCACGAAACAGAGATGTGCATAAAAATAATGTCCCAGGATGTCTGACACAGTGTTATTTATAACAACAGAAAACTGGAAACCAGCTAAATGTCCAGTGGTAGAGAACTGGTTAAGAAAATTATGGTACAGCATTTGATGGAATAATATGAAAGCATTAAAAATGTAGAAAACTATCAATAGGAAAAATGCACGTGGTATATTTCTGAGAGAAAAAAGCAGGCTACAAAGCTGTACACTATGATCCCATTTTTGTATAAAACCGTTATCTATATGTATATACATATATATACATGTATGTATATATATATATGATTTGAAGGGTAAACACTGAGAAGTTAATTGTGGCTTTTTATGTCTGGATGGTGGAATTAAAGATGATTCATTCTGTAAATATTCAGCATCTAATCTGTGCCAGGCACTGGATCACTGAGGTTAAAGGGGTGGATGGGACAAATAGGTTTTGTTTGTTTGTTTTTAATTCCCTTATCCTTTTCTTATTTTCCCCAAGTTTTATACATTGAACAGGCATTACTTTGTAATTAGAAGAAAAAAAGTTACTAAAAACAAAAACTAAATGTTAGATAGAAACTTTAGACTCCATTCCTACCATTGTGGATCCCTAGGAATCTAGGCCCCAAGCCAAGAACCAGGGAATTATCAAGGTTCTGAGGGAGGTCCCTTCCAGCTCTGGCATTCTAAGAATTCTGAGGAAGAAGAAATGCTGGGCTAGTCAGGGAGGGGCAACTTGAAAGGCGTGGATGGAGGAAAGGGAGAGTCAGGGTCAGACTGTACCTTGGGCTCAGGTCCCAATAAAACTGGTGATACCATAAAGGTGGAGGACTGATTACACTGTCTCAACTGAATGTGGGACAGGCTGCACTAAGAACTCAGCTGTGGAAGAGGACATAATCCCATGGTTGTCTGTCACTGTGAGCCCAGGTAATGGGAACAGAGCACAGTACCTGGGGCCCAGTTGGTGATGGGTGTGTTTGGGTATGTTGCTGATGTGTGAATGTGATTTGGGCAGCTGGAAGAGGGGTGGGAATAGAGGCTACTGTGAGCTCCGGTGGGAGAATCATCCAACTCTGGAGGACGAAGAGGTCGAAGCTGAGAAGATACACTGAGGACACTTGGAGATAACTGTCTCTCTGGGACCAAGTCTCCCACAGATCAAATCAGGCACACCACACTCCACTTGGAACAGATGCCCCAAAGCTAAAGGAAGGAGGGGCTGGGGGAGGAAGTCAGAGGGCAGTCAACAACCTTTCTATCCTTTAGTCACTCTCAACCTCTGCTTTCAACTCCCTAGATGCTGGAGAAGCCCTAGAGGTGCTTTGAACAACAATCATGAATCATTCAACAAAATCTAAATGTTTGTCATGTGCCAGATACTGTGCTAGGCATGGGGATGAAATGGTGGACAAGAGAAATATGACCCCTGCCCTCATGGAGTTTATAATCCAACATGACAGACACAGTAAGGAGTCACCACAAAGTGAAACGAACATTACAAGGGATGTAGAGACTGCTATGCAAGCACAGAGTGAGGGGACTGAGCCTAGTCTAGGAGTCAGGGAAGGCTTTTTGGATAAAGTGACATGTGAACTGATAACAGAAAGCAAACTGATACTGAGGGAAAAAGCCAGCGGGAGTGGAGAATTGAGAAAGGGAGACAAACAACATGTACAGAGACTTGGAGGTAAAAAACAAACAAAGCAAAACAAGACAAACATGCAATGCATTCAAGGAACTCCTAGAAGTTCAATAAGGCTAGAACCTAAATTACAAGGGAAAGAATGATGAGAAAGGAGACAGGAGAGGTGGCAGAGGCCAAATCATGGAGTGGATTTTTATCAGTAAGACTATTTATGTCACAAGTAATAGTAAATTCAAAGTGCCTTAAACAATAAAATTTGTCATGCAATTGAAAAGTCCAGATGCAGGTGGGCCTAGGTTAACTTAACCCAGCAGTTCAGTCATATTACCGAGGACCTCTTCCCACCACTCCACGCTTCTTTCTATTGTTTTGTCTTCATCTTAAAGCTGACTTCCATTGTCGTTGTAAGATGGTGGCCCACAGTTATAGTGGCTGTGTGCTTCCTTATCCATGTCTGGACAAAGAATGAGTGGGTTCCCTCAGTCATCAAATACTTCACTCTGTTTAGACCAATGTATGTCACAAGCCCACCAAGAAGGCCAGAGGAGCCTTCTGAAGGCCATGTTAAGTACTTTGATCTTTATCCTAACGGCAATGGCAAACCATTGAATGGTCTTAAGCAGGAAGTGAGATGATGAGATGTCCATTTTAGAAAGAGTGTTCTGGCTAGATGGATTCAGCAAGCCCCATTAAGAGGCCAGGTAAGAGGTGATGGAAGTTTGGACTAGGTTGAAATGTGGATGAAAATTTAGAAGATAGAATCCATAGGGCTTGATGATTAAATGTCATGAGTGAAAGAAAAGAAGAAAGCAAAGATGGTGCCAGGTTTCTGGCTTAAGCTTCTGGGTGGAGAGTGGTGCTGTTCACTAAGGAGGAGGAAGAGGAGATTTTTAAGGAAGATGAATTCCACTTGGGGCTGTTGGGCTTGAGATACTTGGGGGACATCCAAGTGGGAATGTCCACTGGGCAGGTGGTTATAAGTCTGACACGGGGGATTGGAGAGAGTCCAGTCTGGGGATATCATCAGCTTATAGAGGCCATGGGAATGGATAAAGGACCTATGAAGAGTATGAAGAGGACAAGGGCAGAAGGATGAGGGTCTACAACAAAGACCCATCCCTTCTCATCCTGGGAGTCTGCTTCAGCTTCAAAATGGTTGATGGTGTGGTGGGCCAGAGTACAGGTCAGCCTTAAGGCCCCAGGAGGGCTTTCATTGGTCTTTTCTCCCAATCCATGGCAGAAGGGGGAGGGAGATTATTTTTCCCCTATCCCACTAATCAGTAGCTCCCTCCTCTGCAGCCCTGGGGTAAACAGTGACATATTTTAGTAACATGGCCCCTCAGTGTCGGAAGACACAGACCTAATGACCAAAGACTTGGTCTTAAACAACCACAGAGAGGTCCTGGGCCATGCAGGGGGTGGCCCAGTCAGTCCTGAGCATGCCCCGTCCCAACCTGGGGAAACAAGAATTCTGGGGGCTCAAGCCTGTTTTAGGCTTTGGCATACTCCCAGCTGTGAAGGCATGATTCAGGGTCAGAGTCCACATTCTCCACCCAGAACCAGAGACACAGTCACACACAGAGACAAAGAGACAGACAGCTAAAGAAAGACAGGACCACAGAGAACATTTGGAAAAACTGTGAGCTGTAATGGAGAGAGATCTGCACCTAGAGGCAGATATGTACTCTGAAATACCTGAGAGAAAAAGCAGCAGAGGTGGTGTGGAGATGGTAGCAGAGAGCCAACAGATGTGGATATATAGAGTGCTCCAGAGAAGTGTACAGGGAGATCTTGACAGATCTAAAAAGAAAAAGAAACAAAAGAGAGATGGAAACATTCAGAACATTTGGAAAAAGGCAAAAAGAAATAGAACTGAGATTAGAGTTGGAAAAAGGTGTCCAGACATACAGACTTCAGTCTCTAGTTAATGTGGTGCTTCTGTCCTTTGTGCTCCATGAATTCTTCCGCCTCAACTAAATTAGTTGCTACTACATTCTGTTTTGTACAGGCCCATCCAGGACAGGCCCATCCAGTTCAGATTACCATGTACCGTCTGAGTGTCAAGGTCCGAGCAAGGTGCTGGCAACACAGCTGACCAAGAAAATGAGCTGACCATACAGAGTCCACAATGGGTCAGGTGCCACGGATGGCTAATTTGGCTCCACAAATGGTAACCTAGATTCAGTTAGGCTGCCTGCCTCCTAAGACGACTGCTTGGAGGACGGTTGTTGTTCGTCTGTACAAGCTTTGGTATACAGTATGACAGTTACTTTGACAAGGCAGATAATTTCAGGTGCTATAAAAAAGCGATGTCATACCCCTGTCTTAGTTACCTAGTGCTGCTATAAGAGAAATACCACAAGTGGATGGTTTTAACAAACAGAAATGTATTCTCTCACAGTCTAGGAAGCTCGAAGTCCCAATTCAGGGCATCAGTTCCCAGGGAAGACTTTCTCTGTCGGTTCTGGGGGAAGATCCTTGTCATCAATCTTCCCCTGGCCTAGGAGCTTCTCAGTGCAGGGGCCCCCAGTCCAAAGGACGTGCTCCGCTCCTGGCACTACTTTCTTGGTGGTATGAGGTTCCTCTCCTCTCTGCTCGAGTCTGTCTTTTATATCTCAGAAGAGATTGACTCAAGATACAACCTAATCCTATAGATTGAGTCCTGTCTCATTAACATAACTGCCTCTAATCCTGCCTCATTAACATTATAGAGGTTGGGATTTATAACAGGATAATCACATCAGATCACAAAATGGTGGACAACCACACAATACTGGTAATCATGGCCTAGCCAAGTTAACACACATTTTAGGGGGTCACAATTCAATCCATAACACTTCTGAAATAGTTGTGGTTTGACACACACGTTATTGACAATAAGATCCTTGAGGGTATCTTAGTCAATTAGGAATTCCTCCATCACCCGGCAAGGTGCTCTGCACAGAGAAAATGTTCAATAATAATGGCTGTTGAATGAAAGACTAAATCAATCAAATATTGGACCCCGCCCTTATGGAGATCAAGGCTACTAGAACAGATAAAATGTGGCCATAAATCACCTAATATGCATTAGATGGTGAACGGGTCATTAGCAAGAGCAGGCAAAGAACTGTGGTGGCTCAGAGGTGCCAGAGATCTTTTTCTGGATGGTGGTAGTGGGTTAAGAAAGGCTTCCCAGGGAGGTGGCCCTTGAGATGAGTCTTGAAGAATAGAAGGGATTTAAACAGGGGAGATATTCAAAATGTTTAACACAGTACCAGGTACACAAGCACTGACCCTTGAGAGTGGAAACTGGCTGAGACACTCAGGTGGGGTTCTGGGGCCCCTCCAGTGCCGGGTATTACCCATTTAGATGAGAGATTGTAAGGAGGTCTGGAGGTTCCCCAAGGAGGAACTGGGGTAACAGGGGCCCCCTAAAGGCTGGGGGCCTCTGCTGTTTACAAACAGGATTAGAAACATTTCAACATATTTAACCTATACAATGATACTGGTGCATACCTACTGAATATTAGCCCTCGACATGGACCTCCTGAGATGGCCTTGTGCTCTTCTGGTTTGTGGAAGCCACAGGGGCCTTACTAGAATGTAAACTACAGAAGAATAGAGGCTGTTTAATGCTCCATCCCCAGGGCCTAGAGCAGTGCCTGGCAAATTGGAAGAGGCTCAATAAATGTTTGTTAAATGAATAAGCAGACTGGGAGCCCCAAGCTCATTCTTAGGGTTCCCTCATTCTTCCAACTTGTCTTCTTGCACCCAGTTCATGCTTCACACCAGCCCTCAGCATGACCTTATATGAGAATTGGATTCTGTCACTCTCCTGCTCAAAATATTTGATACTTTCCTTTTGCTCACAGAATAAAGATCAAACTCTTTATCATGGCATTCAAGGCCCTGCTCATGCAGGTCCTGCCTTTTCATCTGTCTTCACCATTCATCTCTCTTATGCAACCTACACCTGAACTGTACAGAAACCCTTCCATGTCTTTCTTCATGCTGTATCTTGAATACCCTTCCCTCCACTGTTTTTATCAATTAAACTGCTACTTCTTCTTCAAGGCCCTCGTCAAATTTTGCCTACCTCTGTTTTACCTTTTGAGGCAGAATTAATCTCTCTCTCCTAAATATTGTGATGATGTTTGCTCTCACTAGACTGTGAGCTCCTCAGGGGCAGGGAATGTGTCTTATTCAATTCCATTTCTCTAGTCCATAGCCCAGTGTCTGACATACAATTAGTACTAAATAAATTTTTGTTGAATTCCTTAGTGAATGGCATTCCAAGCAGCAAGAACTAGATGAACAAAGGTGGTAAAAGGTTTGGAGAAAAAATGAATAGTTTAATTGGGCTTGAAGTATGAGAGACAGTGGTAGGAGATAAGACGGAGGGGTATCTTGGGTAAGATTATGAAAGGACTTGGAAGTCGACTAGAGGAAGATGACAGGACTTAACTCTGGTAGGCAGTGGGCAGCCAATGTAGGTTTTTGAGCAGTGGAATAATATGGTGAGAAATAAATTTAGTTTTAACCCAACAGACTCCCTCCTACAGATACTCAGTCTTCCTTTCATACTCAGATGGACTTCCCGCCCACGTATTCATCCATCTGCCTACTCACCCTCAGGCTTCCCCAGCAGTTCACCCTACCCCCTCACCTGCTCCCTGGCTGGGCCAGGGATGTATGCATGGGCTGCTTCCCCTCTCAGCCAGAGAACATGGAGGCCCCAGCTCCCTCTCTTTCCCCTTCCCTGCCTGGGGCTGGGAAGCCGGCCAGGGTTAGGTGAGGCTGGCTAGCAAACAACTGGTGGTGCCAGAGAAAGCCTATATAGTGCCAGGTGGTGCCTTGGGTTCCAGGCTGAGCCTGTGACACCGATAACCTTCTGCCTGAGCACACACCTGCCCCCACCCCACCCCTACCCCGGCTTGGTATCAGGGAGGGGGCACCGGGCGAGACAGACCCGCGGGACTTTGGCTCCATCTCTACCAAAGGGCACTCTGTGAGTCAGCCTACTCCCCTCCAGGCTCTCGCTCCTCCCCAACCCGGCTCCAGTTTCCTATGCACGTACAGCCCTGTGCACACTGTATCCTGGGACACCCCACAGCCAGCCACATGGCTCCCTGGTGCCCCAGCCCCTGGCTCCCTCTGTTGACCGCAGCCCCTGCCCAGGGCCCTGCCATGCAACTGCTGCTGTTACTGGTGCTCCTGGTGCCTTCCCATCCCCAGAGTCTGCCCTGGATGCATGGGGCCCCCCGCATGGGAGGAGATTCATCTGGGGAAGATGATCCGCTAGGTGAGGAGGATCCAGATGGTGAGAAGGATCTGCCCAGTGAAGAGGACCCACCTGGAGAGGGGGAGCTACTTGGAGAGGAAGAGCCACCTGAAGTTGAGACTGACTCAGAGGAAGAGGACTCTCTAAGGTTAAAGGATCTACCTACTGAGGCTCCCAGGAATACGCAAGGTCAAAAAAATAATGCGCACAGGGAAAGAAAAGGTAAGTGGCCATCAGCCCTCCAAATCTAGGTTTCAGGAGGTGCATGACTCCCCCCACCATACCCCAGCTCAGGCAGGGATTATTCAGGGGAGGCGAACCAAAAACCAGTTGCGGCTGAGTCGACTCTGACTCACAGTGACACCATGTGCGTCAGAGTAGAACTGTACTCCATAGGGTTTTCAGTGAGTAATTTTGTGAAGTAGATCACCAGGCCTTTCTTCCAAGGTGCCTCTGGGTGGACTCAAATCTCCAACTTTTAGGTTATCTGTTTGCACCACTCAGGGACTCTCAGGGGAGGAGAGGAGTTTGTAATCCAAAACAGTAGCCTTTCCCAGTCCCAGGGGCTTCTTTACCAGTAGACCCCTTCTCCTTTCAGAGCTAGAAGGGGGTGAGGGGGAGACAAAAAGGGCACAGATGGAGATGGGGGAGCTAGAAGAGATGAGAAAGAGGGGGGAGGTTGGAGAAGAGTAAGAGATGAGGAATGTGCACCACCACCCACTGCCATCTAGTTGATTCCGACTCATAGTGACCCTATAGGGTTTCCGAGGCTGTAAATCTCTACGGAAGCAGACTGCCACATCTATCTCCTGCCAAGCCGCTGGTGGTTTTGAACTGCTGACCTTTCTGTTAGCAGTCGATTGCTTTAATCACTGCACCATGAGGGTTCCTTTGAGGAAAGTGCAAAGAGATTAAAAAAAAGGGGGGGGGGGAGGAGAGAAGTATGAGGGGAAGAGAAGAGGAAAGATTGAGAGTGGGGACAGAGGAAGAGCAGCAGGGACTTTCAGAGATCATCTCATCTGCAGTCTACAGATGAGGAAACCGAGACCCAGAAGGCAACAGCCATAAGGAACCTGGTCTCCAGACTCCCAAGTAGGGACTTTGGGAAAGGAGTTAGAGACCAGAAAGGGGAGAGAGATGAATGGGAAGGGTGGATGAGTAAGGGAGAAAGGAACAATGGTCTGATTTGGGCCTCGGACTGAGGTTCTTACCCAGTTTACAGACCCTAAGACGGCGCCAAACTGGTACCCCAGGGCCAGTAAGGTTTTTGTTTGGCCCATCCAGCTGTGGTTATTATGCTTGGCAGCAGTCTATTGTGCTTTACACTTGGCCCGCTTCAGGCATTTCAGTTACCTGCTAGGCCCCCGTCAGGCATCTGAGTTTGTGAACCTCCGTTGGTGAGGGGGGGCCCACCTCATTCTGGCCACTGGGGAGGGATTGGGCTCGAAGACCACCCTCTTAATCCTTCTTATTTATGCAGGGAATGACCACAGTCATTGGCGCTATGGAGGTGAGACAGCCACCGCCTACACAGACTCAATCTGGGTACCCAGGTCTGCTGCTGTGTCCCACAACCATCCCTGAACGCTGGGCGCCCCAACCACCGCTCCCTCCTCTGCCAGTCCCACCCACACACCAGATTTCTATCTGCCGCTCCAACGCTTGCTGCCCCACCCCTCACTTTTTATTCCCTGGTTCCCTAAAAGTACCTGAACTTGTCCCCACACTTCCTGACCATACTCTCCCACCCTAGGCGGCCTGCCATGGCCCCAGGTGTCCCCAGCCTGCGCAGGTCGCTTCCAATCCCCGGTAGATATCCGCCCGGAGCTCGCCGCGTTTGGCCCTGCCCTGCGACCCCTGGAACTCCTGGGCTTTGCGCTCCCGCCACTCCCAGAATTGCGTCTGCAAAACAATGGCCACACCGGTGAGGGGGGTTGGGGGGGTCTCAGGCCGGGCCTCAGGGAAGGGGCGGAGGCTGTCTGAGGGTGAGGAGTGGGGCCTAGGGAAGAAGACTGGTGGGCGAAGCTTGGGGGCTGGCCCTCGGGGGTGGGGCGGGGCAGGGTCCAGCTCACCGCCCTTCCCCACCGTAGTGCAGCTGACACTGCCTCCGGGGCTGGAGATGGCCCTGGGTCCCGGGCGGGAGTACCGGGCCCTGCAGTTGCATCTGCACTGGGGGGCAGCGGGTCGCCCGGGCTCGGAGCACACGGTCAACGGCCACCGTTTCCCTGCTGAGGTGAGCGTGGGGCTGTCTGAGGAGTGGCGAAGAGGCGGGGCTGGGTCCGAGATCTGGCCCACCCCTACCTGCGTGTCCTCTCCAGATCCATGTGGTTCACCTCAGCACCGCTTTTGCCGAAATTGATGAGGCCTTGGGGCGTCCAGGAGGCCTGGCGGTGTTGGCCGCTTTTCTGCAGGTACCAGCCCTGGATATCTTCACTCCCTGCTTTCCCACGCGTGCCCCTAGAGACTTCGTCCCAGCACACTCACCCGGACCCTCAGCTGTCATCTCAGTCATTAGTTCAGTCATTCATCCCCCACTGTGAGTCAGGTAAAACCCGCTGCTGCTGCCGCCGTAGAGTTGATTCTGACTCTTAGCGACCCTATAGGACAGGGTAGAACTGCCCTATAGTGTTTCCAAGGCGGTAATCTTTACAGACACAGACTGCCACATCTTTCTTCCGTGGAGCGGCAGGCGAGTTCCAACCTCCGACCTGTTAGTAGCCTAGTGCTTAATCGCTGCGTCACCAGGGCTCCCTGTGAGTCAGTTACTGGGCCACAAAAAGGAGTCCACAACCAAAGTGGGAGGCTAACATGGTAGACAGAGCCCCTGCGTGGTGCAAACGGTTAGAGCAGTAACCACTAACTGAAAAGTTGGAGGCTGGAGTCCACCCAGAGAGGCCTTGGAAGAAAGGCCTGGCAAGCTACTTCTAAAAATTAGCCATTAAAAACCCTATGCAAAACAGTTCTACTCTGACTCACATGAGGTCGCCCCCAGTCAGAATCAACTCCATGGCTCCATGGCAACTTCTTTTTTTTTTTAAACCTGATAAACCGGAAACCAAACCCATTGCCATAGAGTCTATTCAGACTCATAGTGACCCTGTAGGACAGAGTAGATCTGCCCTATAGAGTTTCCAAGCCTGCCCTGGTGGCGCAGTTAAGACCTCTGCTGCTAACCAAACGGTCGGCGGTTTGAATCTACCAGCCGCACCCCGGAAACCTTATGGGGCAGTTTTGCTCTGCCCTACAGTGTGGCTATGAGTCGGAATCAACTCAACCACAATGGGTGATCTTTATGGACGGAGTAGCTGATGGGTTCAAACCACCCACCTTTTGGTTAGCAGCTGACAGCCTAACCACTGTGCCATCAAGGCTCCTTTTAACATAATAGACATATTCAAAGGACACAGATAAAGCAAAAAAGATAGTCAGGGAAGGCTTCACAGAGGAGGTGGAACTTGAAGCCTTCACTAGTGGGAAAGAAAAGGCGTCTTCCACACAGAGGGGAAAGTATGTGCAGAAACTCAGAATTCAGGGAATGGCAGATGCATTAGAGTTGACATCAGTTAGATTTCTCTAATGCTCGTATAGTCGATAATTTCCCCTTTATGAAGTACAATAAAGTCTAGATAAATATTTAGTGACCTCTTTGGACCCATAATGATTGAGCCTTCATACACAATGGCTAGTGAAGGCCAGGAGAGTATAGGGATGGAGAGAGACCTGACAGCTTACTCACTGACTCCTTAACCAGCCTCCCAGCGCGAATTTCAGAGAAATGCCTCAGAAATAGCAATGTCAGGTGACCTTGTTCCAAAAGTCAAACGCATGAGTATTGAGGTGAATGCAGAGGTTACATGAATACAAAGGTGTATTATGGAGTCCTGTGGTGGGATTGTGGAGTATGTATGTACGGTGGTAGCTCTGAGTGAGACCGGAAATGTTATTAGGTTCCAGGTCATTGAGGGTTTGTATCCTAGTCAAGTTGCCCCACTTTCTTCCTGTTCTCCAATTTGCCATTGAAAACCAGTCCACCAAGCTTGATAAATTAGTTTGCAAAGTAAGAGTAAATACACTTTGAGTAATAATACTAAGATTTTTGGTTTCCCCAGCATTCTCAGAGCTAAGGAATGGGGGAAGACCGTGGGAACCCCATCTCACCTTTAGGCATCCAGCCATGGCCCTAAAAACCAAACCAAACCCACTGCCATTGAATCGATTCTTACTCATAGTGACCTGATAGGATTTCCTAGGCTATAAATCTTTACAGAAGCAGGTTGTCACATCTTTCTCCCAAGGAGCGGCTGGTGGTTTCAAACTGCCCACCTTTTGATTAGCAGTCAGGCGCTTTAACCACTGTACCACCAGGGCTATTAGTCTGTCTTGCACTGTCATCTCACAGGAGGGCCCAGAAGAAAACAGCGCCTATGAGCAGTTGTTGTCACATTTGGAAGAAATCGCTGAAGAAGGTCAGTTTGTTGGTCTGGCCACTAGCCTCAGTACCCTAGTTTATACAGAATTGCCCTTGGGGAGCCTGCCTCAGTTTGAGGGTAGATATGGACTCCCTAGCCTTCCGGAGGGGGTTGAGGTGTGAAGTGGCTGACCATAATCTTGATAATAACTAATGAAGCTGAACAGAGGCAGACAGGCAAACTGCTGCCCACAGGTTTTATGGTTAAAAACCAAAAACCAAACAAAAACCAAACCAGACATAAAAACAATAGTGTTTGGAACTTCAGGGGTTGAGTCTGTAGAGCTAACATTTTTCTGAGAACTGTCAATTTCTCCTTCGTAAACATTAAATATTTTAAATTTTAAAATAACTATTGTTGGAAGTCTTCCCCTTCTCAGTTACTCTGGGTCATTTTAAACCTCACTTATTTTACTGGACATTTAGGTTTAGCTAAACTGGAGGGGCATGCTTTTTGAGTTGTTGGGTCTATTTGTTTATAGTTACAAATATTTATATTTATTACAAGTTATTCAGCTCAGTTTTCCCTTTCAATTCACTGTGGCTTGAATCTCTCTCAGCATGTTATGGTAATACGCAAAGTAAGAGTAAAGACCCAGACCTAAGGAGCTCTTCTCACACTTTGTGATGCCTCTTCGTTTCCCCAAAGCCTTTTATTTTCTTCTGAGTTATATCTTGTGCTGAGTTAGTGGAAGGGACCCCTTTTAGTGAAGAAGGGATCCCAGGGAGGTGAGTTAACTTTGCTTCTGAGAGGTGAAACTGTACCCTTTATCCCAAAGCTTCAAGGGGGCATGATCTAGGTGGGACCCAGCACAGGTCCTCTCCACAGGCTCAGAGACTCAGGTCCCAGGACTGGATGTATCCGCACTGCTGCCCTCTGACCTCAGCCGCTACTTCCGATATGAGGGGTCTCTGACCACACCCTCCTGTGCCCAGGGTGTCATCTGGACTGTGTTCAACCAGACAGTGAAGCTGAGTGCCAAGCAGGTGGGACTGGAGTGGGGGGAGAGGTGACACAGGGAATGTGGGGGAAAGGGGATATAGGATGAGATGAGAAAGAAGAGGCATGAAGAGATGAAGGGGCCATGTGGGGAATTGGGGGGCAGATGAACGGTGGAGCCCTGAGGTGCTGGCTGTGAGTAGGCTGTTAGTTTCCCCTTATGCCATAAGCCCACCCCCACTGTCTACTGACCTCCGTAGCTCCACACTCTCTCTGACTCCCTGTGGGGGCCTGATGACTCTCGGCTGCAGCTGAACTTCCGAACCACACAGCCTTTGAACGGGCGAATGATCGAGGCCTCCTTTCCTGCAGGAGCAGACAGCAGCCCTAGGACCTCTGAGCCAGGTGCAGCTTTGTCTGGGGTCCCATATTGCCATCTCCCCCCAGCCATGGGCCCCTCATCATCTCATGTGTCTTCATTTGTCTGTTCTCTGAGGTCACAGCCCCCAGCTCTAATGTCTCCTTTTTCTCTTCAGTCCACCTGAACTCCTGCTTTGGTGCTGGTGAGTCTGGGGCCCCTCCTCTTGCTCCTGATGCTGGGGGACACCACAGGGGCTAGTCAGGGGCATGTCTGCTCCCTCTAGGATCCCTCTACTTTTCTGCAGACCTCCAACCCCAATATGAAGTGGTCAAACTATGGGGTTTCCCCAGTGGCCTCAGGGCAAGAGAAGGTCAGAATGAAGCTCCAAAAATCTAGTATCCACCTCCCCAAACAACCTCCTTTACTTGGTTTTAGGGAAGAAAAGTGGTGTCCGTCTTGCCCTCTTCCTGTGTATCCTAGCCCATCCCTTTGCTGGCCTCTTCTGGAGACTGAGGCATTGGGGGCTGCTGGAGAACTCTAGGCAGTGGGGGGGGGGGAGGACACACTGAAGCAGGCTTTGGGTGAGCCCCATGGACTCTCTTCACCCCCTGAGGCAGCCCTTTCCTCTCCCTCCCAGGTGACATCCTGGCCTTGATTTTTGGCCTTCTCTTTGCTGTTACCAGCATCGCCTTCCTTATGCAAATGAGAAGGCAGCAAAGGTATTATACTGACCCTCTCCCTAAAGTATAACACTTCCCCCTCATCCTCTATCACCCTACCAGGTGGCCGATCACCCACCGAGCAGATTGTGGAACACAGAATCATGTAAATTGCATGCAAATGAGATCACCCTGTGCCAGTTTTCTGATTAGGGCCCCTGGTGGTACAGATGGTTTTCACTATTCTAACCTAAAAGGTTGGCTGTTCAAACCCACCCGGCAGCACCATGGAAGAAAGGCCTGGCAATCTGCTTCTGTAAAGATTACAGCCAAGAAAACCCTACTGAGCAGTTCTACTCTGTAACACACGGGGTCACCATGAGTTGGAATTGACTCAACCACGGGTTTGGTTCTTTTTTTTGGTTGTATAGACACGTAAACATGGCCAAAGGAAGTGTTAGCTACCACCCAGCAGAGGTCACCGAGACAGAAGCCTAGAGGCCTGGAACTTGGAGAATGTACAGAAAGAAGCTGGCTAGAAGAATCTAAGGGGAAGCTGGAAAACTGTGTCCTTGCCTGTCTCTGTTACACCACTTCCTTTTTAACCTCCAAAGATTTTTGAAAATAAGCTTCTAATAAAATGTGTGGAAGGCACCTTTGTTCCTCAAATCAGGATGGTGAATTAATTTCCTCTGGCTGCTGTAACAAATTACCACAGAGTAAAACAACACACATTTATTCTCTTATCGTTCTGGAGGCCAGAAGTCTGAAATGAGGGCTAAAGTCAAGGTGTTGGCAGAGCTGGTTCCTTCTGGATGTCTGAGGCAAGAATCGTTTCCTTGCCTTTTTCAGCTTCTAAAGGTCACTTTCATTCCTTGGCTCACAGCCCCTTCCTTGCATCACTTCAATCTCTTGCTTCCACTGTCACATCTTCTACTATTGTCTTTCACCTTCTTGCCTCCCTCTTTTAAGGACCCTTGTGATTACATTGGGCGTACCCGGATAATCTAGAATATTCTCCTCATCTCAAAAATCTTAAATCACATTTGCGAAGTCCCTATTGCCATGCAAGGTAACATATCCACAGGTTCTAGGGATTGGGACGTGGACATCTTTGGGGGGGCACATTTTTCTGCCTACCACAGATGGTGTCAGGAAGGAGACAGAAATGACTAATACTGTTGATAAGACCTTGTATGTGTGTGTTCAGGAGTAGGGAGGCTGCAGCCTTTAGGCTTAAAAATCACATCGAGGCCTTTGGGCTTTTCACCTTGCCCAAGTGCAGTCTGTGTAGCTGCTTGCAGTTTTGCTTTCAGAACGAATTGCCTGGCACAGCTGCCTGCTGGGATAACGTGGTGCCACAGAAGGCAGCGCCTTTGCCCTGCAGGGGGTAAAGGCCAGGATATTCCCCCAGCCCTGCTGGGCTTCTCTGTTTCTCACAGCCTTCTATACCTCCTCCGTGAACCTAGCACCCCTACCCCATGGCCCCCATCAAGAAGGATGTACGGCCCCAGAGCATGTGCCCAGGTCCTGTTCATTTAGGGTCCCCTCAGGCATCCTCGCAACCACTTTGGAAGACCACCTGCCGCCATTACCAACACCAAAGAAAGGCTTACAGGGCCCTGTGATGCTGGTAACATCAGTTTTATTGGGTTGCGGGTGGCAACTCCAGCCTGGCTGGGGCAGGGCCAGCCCTCACAGGTTGTTGAGTTCCAGCAGGGTCTGGTCCAGGGTCTGGTGAATCTCCACATTCTCCTCCTTGGCACTGGCCAAGGTCTCTGTGAGGGGAAGCAGCACATGAGGAGGGGAGGGGTGACAGAAGGAGGGGACATGGGGGACAAACATAAGAGGGAGACATGGGGAAGCATGGATGGGACATGACAAATAGACATGGAGACATAGGAAGACACAGGATTCAGGGATCTGATTCTGAGGGCCCCGTGTCAGGGACTCACCAGGACAAAGGGAACAGAACAGATACAGATGCTTCAGGGAGGGGCCAGGGGTCTTGGAGATGGGGTGGGAAGGCCTAGTCATACACTAATTTGGTCTCCTTCTTCTGAAGGTTTAAGAAGTTGGAAACAGAAGGAAAGACAAAGACCAAGCCAGGAAAGGGAGGGCCAGACAGACAGGCAGACAGACAGACTTGAGGTAGAAAACAGACCTGCAGCTTCAGTGAAAGCCCCACGTTGCTGGCATCCAATATTTTTCCAAACTTCATCCCAGACCTTTCACAACCTCTTGCCGCTCCCCTGTACCTCGCCTCCCCACTTCCTTTCCAGTCATTCTATTAGATCCTGGAACCCCAGCTAGGTGCTCTGAAGGCCAGTGATAGGCCTCTAGGGTCTGTGGTAGGGTGTGTCTCTCAGAGGCACCAGTAGGGGGTTATGGCGCTTGATGGTCACACATGCCACATGCAGCAGTGAGCGTCAGGGTGTGACAGACTAGTAGTGGCCTGTGAGGAAGGGGTTTCAGTGTGGGACACATGCTTGTGGGTGGGCTCAGTGGTGGGGGGTGTCTCTAAGAGCCAGGGGTCTCGGGAGTCAACCAGTGCTCTGTGGGGTGATGGAAGTGCTCCCCGGAGGACAGGAAAACAGCATGGAGACCAAGTTAAGAGTTTATTAAGCAGCAGAGAGAGGTGGATATTCACGGGTGGTAGTGGGGGGAGATGGACAGAAGGATGAAGCAAGTGCCAGGGTGGGGAGCTGGTGTGATGGGGGCTCTCCCTAGGTTGCTTCCAGCCTGACTGTGCAGTCTCGCCAAGTTTTGCTCCTCCTGCCTGCCCCCTTCCCAATAGAGAGAATGGAAAGGAGAGGAGAGAGGGGGGCTGAGAGGCCACAGTGGTGTGGGGCTCAGAGAGAGGTGATATCATTGAGGGCGTTGTCCAGCTCCTCACTGATGGCCTTGTACTTCATCTTCTGTGCATACACTTCATCTGGGGGGGTCCGAAGGGAGGGGACCAGGTGGATGTGTGGGGAGAGGGAATGGAGGAGGGAAAGAGGAAAGGAAGGAGACAGGGTAATGGAAAGAGAAAATGAAATCAGAGACAGGTGGACAAAGACAGAGTGAGAGAGGCCAGAGAATAGGCTGGACAGCTGCCAGGGCTCCCTCCTCCCCTCTCTGCACCCCTCTCTTTTGTCCTTCTCTGTACCCCAAATTGGTTCTTCCTCCAGGAGCTCCTGCCTCCCCCAGGGACCTGGGGGCCCAGTGCTCTGGACAAGCAAGAATGCTTTCTTCAGGAGGAGGGTGAAGGATGTTTATGAACCAGAAAGGTCTAAAGTCCTAAAGTTGGAGATAGAATTGGGGCTTGTCTGAGAAGGCTAGAAGCAAGAGAAGTAGGAATCGTGGAAGTTGAAGAGTTACTATAGTATAAAATGGAAAGATATTTTAGGCACAAAGTTGTTGACAATAGTGAGAAATAGCCACAAACTAGCAAATACCTTGATGTTTGTTTTCTCCAAATCTAGCTTAAAATAGTATTTTCCATTAATGTTGTCACGCAAACCTACATGTTCAATCAAATAGCTCTCTATTCAAAATAGAAGTCTTTGTGATAAAGCTCTATTTTGTTGCCCTTGGAGATGAAATTGTCGAGATCAGTGCTACCCAAAGTGTAGTCTGTGGACCAGCAACAACAACATTGCCAGGGAGCTTGTTAGAAATGCACATTCTCCAGCCCAAAGTCAGTAATCGCTTTGGGGTAGGGCTTGGGAATCTGCATTTTAAAACCTCTCCATGTGATTCTCAGGCAGGCTAAAATTTGAGAAGCACTGGAGTGGATGGGCTACAGCCAGCTACAACTACCTGAAGAGCAGGCATAGCCCACAGGAGTCTGTGGAGTTTGTGGAGTCCTAGGTGGTGCAATCTTAGTTGAGTGGTGGCAAACACAATGCGATGGGAAGATAAGGGACACCAGGGATGCAAACCTCCTGAAAAAGGTTCAGGGGGCAAGGGGGAGTATCCTTTTACCTTCTAGGTCATCGATGGTTTTCTCCAACTTTGCCACAGATCTTTCAGCAAACTCTGCTCGGGTCTCAGCCTGGGAGTAAAGGAAGGATGGGGGAAATGGCAAAAAAAAATTAGACTCTCCCAGAGACCATCACCTAAGTCAACCTCTCTCTGTCCCTATCCCCAAGTCCCCTGCCACAGGCAGTCTCTGGCAGGAATTAGGGTGGCTTAAAGAGCCCTGGTGGCAAAGTGGTTAAGAGCTACGGCTGCTAACCAAAAGGTCAGCAGTTCGAATCCACCAACCGCTTCTTGGAAAGCCCATGGGGCAGTTCTACTCTGTCTTATGGGGTCACTATGAGCTGGGATTGACTCGAGGGCAACAGGTTTGATATTTTTTTAGGTTTAAGGAGGGACTGGGAATTGGAAGAAAACTCTTACCTCCTTCAGCTTCTCCTCCAGCAGTTTGATCTCCTCTTCATATTTATCTTCTTTGGTGGAATACTTTTAGGGACATACATACTCCATCAGTATATTGCCTCCATGAGTCCTTCATTTCTCCACTGAGCCCCACAGGCTACTCATAATCTTGCCTCCATGAACACCCTGCCCTTTCCTGCCTGGGCCCATCACCTCCCCGGCAGGACCCCCATCCTCACTGCCCTGCTACCCCCCTCTACCTTGTCTGCTTGGGCCTCCAGGGATTTCAAGTTGTTGGTAACAATTTTCAGCTCTTCCTCTAGGTCCCCACATTTACTGCAGGGGGTGTGTGGCAGGGTGGGGTGTGAGGGCACAGTGAGGCGAGGCAGTGGAGATGGCACAGTGAGGGAGGGGTGGAGGAGAGAAGAGAAGAGCAGAGTTGTGAGAGTGACAGCAGGCAGAGTTTGGAAGCCCCAGGCCCTTCCCAACACCTACAGGGCAGAGAGAGCAGCCTGAGATGGAGGGGCAGATGAGCTGAGAGAGGGCGCCACTGCCCAGAGAGGTCACTACCTCCTCCTCTGAGGCCATCAGGGACTTGAGGGCCTGGTCCATGGTTCGAAGCTCCTCCTCCAACTGCCTGGCTCGGCTGGGGGCAGCAGGCAGGGGTCAGAGGACAGTACCTGTCCCTATGGCCCCGAGCTTGGGAAACTGCCTCCCCACTGTGCAGAGTGTCCCACAGCCTCTGGCTCAGCCAGGTTTCACTTGCCACCCAGGGTACCCTTACCTTTCAGCCACCTCGGCCCTCTCTTCTGAGCGCTCTAGCTCTCCTTCCAGGATCACCAGCTTCCTGGCCACCTGTAGGGGGTGGGGGAGAAGGATTAGATCAATGGTGAATCACTGAGAATGTCTGGGGCTTGGGGGTGAGACGAAAGTGGGGCAGGGCCATCACCTCCTCATATTTGCGGTCTGAGTCCTCAGCGATGTGCTTGGCCTCCTTCAGCTGCATCTCCTGCAGCTCCATCTTTTCTTCATCCTTCATGGCCCGGTTTTCAATGACCTTCATTCCTCTGAGATGCAGGGAGAGGGGTGCGGGTGGGGTCAGGACCAGCAAAGACAGGCTTCCTCCCCGCTGGCCCACCGCTGAGGGCCTGCCCTGCCCACCTCTCACTCTCATCAGCTGCCTTCTCAGCCTCCTCCAGCTTTTGCAGGGCAGTGGCCAGACGCTCCTGTGCCCGGTCCAGCTCCTCCTCTACCAGCTGAATTCGGC